GAAAAAAAACCCTCCATGTTCAGAACCCGAACTTCAAAACACAGGCAGTTTGGCCCTCCCTCTCTACCAAGAAGACACAAAAAAAACTCCTCCAGTTTTATAAAGAGAAAGTCTTTGGATTGATCTGGCAATCTGCATAATACAACAGAAGAGGCCCTTCCCCTCCCTCCTTACTTCACTGCCCTTTTCAGAATAACTGTGAGGTAACAAATACCTTCCTACAAAATATATATCATAATAGAATAGAATAATAATATAATATGCTTGTGTCTGTCATATATATAAAACAAAATACTTTACAAAATGGAGACTGGGTTGGTGCTCAGTTTAACAGTCCAATTCTTGCCAAAACCAACACAGTAGTACCCGAGCATCCCAACGCCCCTTTTCTTTTGACACAGAGAACTGATTTTGTGATAAAAGTTGCAAAAAAAGGATAGTTGAAGTAACAGTACGTACACCATATGCCATGCATATTTTGTTTCCAGATTGTTGTTTTTGTTAAAAAAAAAAAGAGGGCGGGAATCTTGCACTTATTTTGTTATAAATGTGCAGCTTGCATTAACGTCTCTGAAAAGAGAGAATGCAGTAAGAAAATTAATTTATAAAAGAAAGAGGGAGGGTGGAAGGGGAGAGAGAGATAGAGATGCAGCATCTTTATCTAGTTTAGTTTATCTCAATTGCATCCAGTAATGGCTGTGAAAAGTAACATTCCTTATCGGGATGTTTTCCTGCTTCAAAATCGGTGGTTGCAAATACCAGGGGACGGGGAAAGAGCAGCTCCGAGAGTTCCTCAGAGTGGTCCTCGGGGGTCCCAGGGATGAGAGGAGGAGCTGGCACAGTTGCTTTGAAAAGAGGACAGGCAGGAGGGGAAAAAAATGTGCATCTCAGTAGAAAGAAAGAAATGAAGGGGGACAGAGAAGCAAAACAGAGAAGTCTTCCAAGCAGCAGCTGCCATTTCTAGTCAAGATTCCTTCTCTCACACTGTAGATACCAACGTGCCACTGCCGCTGTGGAACAGAAAGAAAAAGCACACAGTTCGGCCCAAACTCACTTCACCAGAAAGAGAGAGACAGAGACAGAGACAGAGAAATAATAACCAAGAGTAGATGGAGGAGCACCAAGTAAGCTGCCATGCATTGATATTGGAATTAGGGAGCAAGGGTAAAGAGAGGGTGGGCAGGGAGCAGTGAGTAAACTATTTGCAGCTTCATTACCGCTCAGAAAGAGCAACTTCTCTTGGGTTCATCTAAGTAGCAGAACCCACTACATTAGAAGTGGTTGCCATACTCAGAAAACAAAAGGAAAAGAAGATGAGGTTGCTTCTCTGTGACATCTACGTCGCTTCTAATTGCTTGGATGTGGGTTTTGCATTCATTCCTGGTTTGGTAAGGGGCATTTCCATCACTATGTCTCAGTTTGAAGGCCTCAAGGTTGGGGGGGGGATGTATAACAAATATGCAACTAGAGATGCAAGAAGAGCAAAATGTGGAATCTACTATTCATCCCTGCTTCAAAAAAAAAATGTAGTCCGTTTAACTGAGAATATTGCATTTAAAACTGAAGTTGTGTCCCCACCGAATAAATGACTCATGAACGCACTGCAGAAAACGGAGACATGTGATGTGGGGCAAGTTCAGTTAATTCAATCCACCAGCCATGTCTCTTGAGCATGCCTACATGAGCATGAGTTGTAATGCAATGACTATAAAGAATAGTCATATTTTCCCATCACTGCACATGGCAGGGGAAACTCTGTGGTAATTCAATACAGTGGCATTCAATAAAGCTGATCTTTTTAGTCTGCCTTAACAGGAAGAATGAAATAGGATATTTTATGGAATGATGACATGCAAGAGGTCTGGGCATGAGGGGAAAATGCAAACAAGAATGAACGCTGCAAAAAACATAGAGGGACTGATATCATACAATGTACAGAGAAAAAAAGGATGATTACAAAGAAGAGAGCAAGAAAAAAACTTAACAGAAAATGCAAAGCAATTTTGACAGTAATCAAAATTGTTCTGGAAATGGTGAAAAGGAGCCTCCAATAGCGTAAATAAAATAATTAATGAATGAATTAATGAATAGTAGGGAGTAAGACATGAATGTATGGTGTGTCCTTAGTTGTTTAATATATTTATGAATAAATATATAAGGAACTAGACAATCTATCACCCATTGAGTCATCATTTGAGAGACATTTTCTTACCTAAACAGAGTAACTATGGGTGGGCTAAAAAACAAGAGTGATTTCTTTTGTCTTCCTTCCGCCTCCCTCCTCCTCTCTTCCTAAAACTCCTGCCAGCTTCCTCATTTGCTTTGCTTGTGGGAAGCTTCCTGGGAGAAAGTCAGTGGGCAAACTGGCAGTGACTTGTAAGTCCAAGGTTAGCAGGCAGGCAAGTGTCGGTTGCCAAGTAGGAGAGGGAACACAGGAGTGTGGAAGAGGAGTGGGGTGGATTAGGGAGGGCATGTGGGATTGTGCAGGAGGTGCACAGGTTGGGTGTGCAGGGGTGTGGTGCATGTTAGGAAGGGAACATGGAGATGAGCAAGTGGTGTCACGTGGATTGGGGCAGACACATAGGGATGCATCACAAGTCAGGAAGGGAGCGTGAGAATGTGCAGATAGTCATAGTGGCGCAAACAGAGATGGGCCAGGAAGGTTGTATGTATGGGGGAGACTTAAACTGAGCAATTTGCAACCTTTCCTGCTGGCCTCTCCACTGACCTGTGGGAAGCTGTCAGGGAGTGTTGGAAATGAAGTTCATGTGACTGCAGCTGAGTGTGGCAGTGGAGGGCTGCTAAAGCTGAAAGCAACACAACTGCTATGAAGTGACCACACCTTTCCCAAATTTCATTCCCAAGGGAGTAACTAGTCCTGGCATTCTATATGTTAGCCCATTTGAGGTACCTGGGTTCAATAATTGTTGCCCTATGACTGCACCGTTTTGCCCAGTTCATGACAATGAGAAAGATCGATGCTTATGGTGACATTAGAAGAAGTGCTGATTGAAGATGTAGGTTTGGAGAAGATGTTATGCTGTTGGCTAAGGAGCCAAATGATATGCTAGTGAATTGAAACACATTATATGATGCCAAAAGCATACAAGTGCCAATAAAGGAAAATATTTATAGTTCATGGTTGAAATGCAGAGTCCTTTGGTGCTCTGTGGGCTTGGTTGTTCTCTGGCAGTCGTTTCATTGCCCAAACTAGGTAATATCATCACTAGTGCTAGTCTGGGTAATATCATCACTAGCTCTGATGATGTTCCCCAGTTTGGGGAAAGAAACATCTGAAAGGGAACAACCAAGCTTAGAGAACAGCAAGGACCCCTCAAGTACACAAGTCTGACAATTAATGTATCAAAGATCAATGTAATTTTGTTTGACAGGGAAGGTGGAGTGGATGAATTGAATTTATTTATAAATAACAACACACACACACACACACACACACACACACACACACACCAGGAAAAGTAGATGAAGTTGTGCATCTTGGCAGAATGTTTATTAAAGATGAGGAAATGGATGAGGAAATGTTAAGTTGTGCAAATGTTGATAAAAGAAAACTAATGGGTAATACTTAATCTGTCTTGAGGAATAAA